CCCACTTTGCCTATGGGGGTGTGTCAGATTTATATGACATAGCTACTGTAGGCTATAGTGGGGTAGCACATATGGGGTACAGTTTTCTAGGGTTTGCTTCTTGTACCCAACTTTCACTTAGTCATTTCATTCCTCGTTTCTTATCAGTGCTCTGTCAGGGCTGTAAATCAGTATGTCGTCGAGGCATGCTATGACGCACTTATCTAAGAGCGGGCGGAAAGCTTCGTTCATGGTCATTTGAAAAGTGGCGGGGGCGTTGGTCAGTGCGAAGGGCATGACGGTGTATTCGAAGGATCCGTAGCGTGTGCAAAATGCGGTCTTAGGGCAGTCGGGCGGATTGACGCGATTCTGGTGGTAACCCCCTCAGAGGTCGATTTTCGAGAAAACCCGGGCTGTGCGCAGCTGGTCGATCAATTCGTCGACTCGCGGGATGGGGTAACGGGATTTGATGGTAACCCTGTTCAGTGCTCTGTAATCTATGCACATGCGAAATCCCCTGTCTTTTTTCGGTGTGAACAGTATCGGTGTTGCGAAAGGCGACGAACTAGGGCGAATAAATTCCTTCTCGAGCAGGTAATCGAGCTGCTTCCTCAGTTCGTCCAGTTCGGGCTGGGTCAGTCGGAACTGTCGCTGTACTGTTGGCTGTGCCCCTGGTTCTAACTCTATCCTGTGGCCATGCGGTCGCTGAGATGGCAGTCCCATCGGTAAATCGTCCGGGAAAATGTCGCTGTACCGCTTCAACAGTGCTGCCAGATCACTCGGTACGTCGGCCAGCAGTTTCTGTAAATCCCCTCCTTTGTCTGCTGCCTCGGCTTCCCGAATGTCGACCGCGTACACGTCAGCTCCTGCCGCTACGGCGCGTTTCATCGTGATCGCGTTGACACGCACCGACGAAGACTCAGGCGAGCCCCAGCGAGGTAACGCGATGTTGTTACCGTTCACTCGCACAGTGCAGTCACCCGTCGTCCAGTCGATTTGCGGATTGTGTCGTCGCAGCCAATAACGCCCGAGTAAAATATCGGTTCCGTCAAGGGTCGTTGCGAGCATTTCCTGGCTAAACGTGAAGTTACCCCCACATCGAATCCGAACCCGGTCTACGCGTTCCCGTATCGCCAGCGGCGTGCCGTCTACCAGCCTTGCGTCGATCTCAGGTAAACATCTGTCCAGTGGCAGTCGCAGTTTTCGTGCTGTGGAAGTGTTGATGAGGCTGTGGCTGGCTCCCCCGTCTACGAAGATTTTTATTAAGTCCGTCCCAATTTTCCCACTAAGCAGTATGGGGCTGTCTACCGTAGTCCCCTCCTTATTCGGCCGGGTGTGGTCGATTGCGTGAAACGGCACAATCACTCGGTAAAGGTCGGTTGGGTCGGGCGAGCGGCGTGACCTGTCAGTAGAGGGCCCGTCTGCTACTGACTCCCAGCGTTTCCTTGATGCTTGGTCTGTTTCTGCTGCTCAACTTCCCCCTTTCCCTTAGCGTTTTCCGGGCATTCGCTCTTGCGATGTCCCGGCCGATTGCACGCAAAGCAGCGCCCTTTGAACGGTGCGGCAGCGGCATTTGCGACGACGACACGTATCGTGGCGCCCTCGTTCGTCCCACGAGGCCGATGTCCCCAATGGCTGCTTCCGTAGGACCCCGGTCTCGGTCCGCGGAAGAAATCGAGTTTCTCCGCCATGGCGAGAATTTCTTGAAAGTCGGTGACGCCGCGAAGCTGGATTTCCTGAGCGATGTCCTGCTTCAGGCCGCCGATGTAGCGGTTGATGCGCTCGCTCTCGTGCATATATCCCACCTGCTCGCATAGCGCCAGAAATCCGCTCGTATAGTCTTGGACGGAACCGAGTTGGCGCCAAGTGCGGAGCTTCTGACGCACCGCGATCGAAGCCGCGATTGGCTCGAAACGAGCGCGCAGACCTGCGCGCCACGCGTCCCACGTGCGATACTGGGGCACCTCCACGAAATACGACGGCGCCCAGGGTCCGGTTTGTCCTTCCCGTGTCGGTAGAGTCGCGTAGTCTAACGGCTTCGTGACGATGACGCGCCACCAATCCATGGCAGGTCCTCGCAGCAACGACACGGCGTAGCGGATTTTCGCCGTATCCTCCGAGACGTAGTTGGCGTCGAAAAACACGTTCATCGTGAACAACCACGCCTGAACGGTAGGACCACCCCTCTGGCTGGGATCGAAGCATGGCGGACGCTGCGGCTTAAGCGGCATCGGTGACGGTAGTGCCGAACCGTCGGTTGGTGCCGAAATTGTGACGCGTGGCTGGCTTCGGGCCGCATTCGTCGCTTCGGGGTGTGTCGTGCCGTGGTCGTCATCTCCGTCGGGGCGGACGACGCCATCACTGGCCGCGCTCGCGGGTTGCCCCACGCTTCCGTGTTGTGATGCCTGTGGTGCGGGCTGTTCCGGAGTGCCAGGTGCTTGAGATTGTGCCTGTTGTGCTCGTGTGAGGTCATTTTGCAAGGACGGGCGTTCTGCCGTCAGCGTCGCGATTTCCTTGGCGCTCTCGCGGATTTGCCGCAGCAGATCGTTCAAGTGCTCCTGCGTGAGCGTCGTGATATCAATGTGCTCGGCCATTTCGAAGGGTGTCGGCTCGTCTTAGTTTAGGCGCAGTCGTGGCTGCACGCATTTACGAGAGAACGCGAGGACAGCGGCTCCTAGGTGCTAAGGTGCGTGAGTCCCTTCGAGTGAAAAATCAAAAGTTGATTTCCTGGGGTGCGGAGATGCGCGGTCCGAAAGAAAGGGGCTCTGAATACCAAGTGTTACGGGTGCAATGAATCGAAGTAGCGAGAATTGCACTAAGGTGTCAAACGAGTACAAAGATGTGAGCGAAGGCGTGAGCGAACATTTATACGCGAACATGCAAACGGTAACGCGGTGCGTGCGAGCTAGCTAGTGCTACGCTAGCAGCGAGGCTCGGGCTAGCCCCGAAGCGTAGGCCGACACGGCCGGGCCAGCAGTGCGAGGTTTGGCAAAACAGTGCGCGCGAATTTGGCGAAGTCCCGTTAGCAGTAACGGGCGAACAACGGCTGTTGCTGTACGCGATGTAGTCGGGCTCCGTAAGGAATGCCGAGAAAATTCCTTACAATACCTCACTGTTCTCACTTATGCTAAGAAAAATGATACACTTGATCAAGCTTATGATGAAGTGGAAACAAAGCGGTGGTGAATGGTGGGAACCTAATCGGCAATGATATGTTGTGGTTCTTGAGATATTCTGGCGCTTTTCGAGCAGCAATAGCCCTTTTCCTGAACAAGTGGCCCATTCAACTCCTACGTGTAAACGCAATCAATAACTTGTAGGTCGAATGGCCTGGAGAAGGCAGCACACACGTGTCCGATAAATTCTCTGTGTACATGTCATGTGCAGAACCTTCGTACGCACGCTGTACAGATTGTGGCGGGACAATGATGTGATTTAGGCAAATGTGCGGACGGAATTTGAGGCGCTCGAATGCAGGGCTGCTCCCTGGAACTTATGATGGAGCAAAAGCTGGGAGCAGTCGCTGCTACGTGGCTTCTCCCAATCTGATGGGAATGCTGTTCAATTTAGCCAGTTTTTGATTCTGCTTACATAAAATGAGCGGCCCTGGAGCTGCCCGTGCGTTTCTATTTTAGGTCCTAAGGGGCTTTCGAGGGGGCCAACACGTGCAAACAGTTAAGTTGTCATTATGATAGACCGTCTTGGTTACGTATATATAATAGCTTGGGCAGAAACTAGTTTCTCTGCCTGCGCTACCGCACTACTGGAACTAGAAACCACAACCCAGCATCTGGCTTCTTATGTAAGATATTCTGAAGATCACAAATCTACATCTGGTTGCTTACTTAAGATCCTGAGGAATGGACTAAAAGCCGCGCATTTTGTGTGAAACGCAAGGGTTTTCAGCCTGAACCGGTGCGCACAACCTAGTGGCAATAAATACAGGCTGTTCTCCTCATGGTCAGTGTAGGTAGGGAAAGCATACACTGACAAAATAAAGAACTATCTGGGTGTCGAGCCAGTCACTGGGGGAGTGAGGGAATCACGTGTTGACAGTTAATCAACACCAAGCATGCGGGAATGCCCAACGAACTCAAATGACTGGATGGAAATGGAGGGAAAGTCGACCGAGGCAGTTGGCTAGGACACGATAGGCTGTGGGAAGAATCTCGCTTGACGTTCAGCATGAGGGGATTCCGGCGACGGACGGTCGACGTGAAAGCGCTTGGATTCGCACCACGCTCACGAGATCACCTGACTGGTTCACCGAAGGCAGCGGGAGGGGGGGCGAGGAAAACCTCTGGACATCCGACGCGGAAATCTTTCTCAGTGAGCGCGACGCGAGATCTGAGGCAACAAAACCCTATGTCCACAATCTTCCCACACCTCCTTGTTCCCCCCCTTCCTCCCTCTCTTGGTCCCCCCCCCCAACCCAATTCTCCCGCCCCCCCCCCACCGAATCCTAATCGCTCTGTCCGCTCTACCTTCCATCCAGCAGATCCCCATTCTCCCATTCATTCCCCTTCCCCCATTCCTCCCTTCCATGTATTGTTTGCTGCTGTCTGCCACTGACTGCTTTGACACAACTGATCGGAACCTACCGCTTACTACGATATTCCCTGCAATGAGATTCCAGTTGGGTGTCCTTTGCGTTGTTAGAGACTTATCCTGAAGCCCGTAGTTCAAACGTATACAGACGTCCGCAACTTCTACGAACTATTCTTTAGAGTGGAATTACCGCAATAGGAAGAAACTAACCCGCTAAACGAGTGCGGACCCGCTACATTAGGGCCCGCTAAAGGTGGTCAGGTTTGTTCACAATCATGGATTCGAGGTTTCAAGCTCCCCCATTACTCCATCCAGCCAGACCCGCCAGCGATAGCCGTATTTTCGAACCCGCACATCCTAGAGCACAACCCGCAATATCCGGTGCACAGACCGCATTCTCTGACTACTCAACATCCGCCGCATGTCCCGACATCTCACGCTCCAGCACTAATTCCGACGCGAATCTCGCCGCCATGCCAGCACTAGACCGCCGGCCAAGTTGCAGCCGTGTACTCGCTGACGTGGAAATGGCGGCGCTGGAGGGCAAACTGGCTCTTCTCGAGTCGCAGCGGCAGCTCAGCGCCGTCAAGTGTCGCATCTTCGTCGACATGATGGAATCAACTATGCAGTGCGCCGAGGAGTCTACTATCGAGAAATACGCAGCGTATTCTGAGAAGGACACCGATTTGAGCTTTGAGGTGCCCGCATACGAACCCTACAGTAAGAGGGACAACGGGTTGGCACGAACTCTATCATCATCAGGCGCGAAGCAGCACGCGCCGTGCGAAAGATTGCGCGCGACGAACACAGCTCGCAACAGTAATAGCAGCACCGGCGGCGGCGGCGGTAGCAGTGGTGACGGGCGGAGGGCGTACGAGCCTTTCGCGCCGCCGAGAGTCGACAGCGCGTATCGCCGGAGGTCCATCGACGTGCCGTCGGTGTCATCAGCATCGGCGCGCTGCGCGTCGTGGCGGGTAGATATGATCTTCTACACCCCCAGTGCAAGTGGCACCGGAAGCCCCGCCCGCCCTCTTTCCCGCCGCCGCAGCGGCTCTTTCCGCGCGCCTGGTCACCCCCGCGGGACTCCGGACGCCGCCTGCGCCGAGCCGCTGCCCCGCGATGTGTCCGAATTGCCTCGTGGCGGCGGCGAGACCCGACGCGCAGCTACTGCGGGGCGGCGATCATTTCAAACGACTCGGGAGCTGCGATACGGGCAGGGGCACGAGGATCGCTGCGCCGCAGAGCTGCGCGGTGTGCGTTGGCCTGCCAGTCAACTCAGTCATGCGAGTCAACCGGATTTGCGCAGTCAGTCGAGCCTGCGAATTCAACGGCTGTCGCAGAGAGATCTCGTTTCGGCGTCCGACGAATGCGATTGGCTCGCGAATCCGTCGCTGCCCTCGCGTGCGGCAACGGAACCCTCATCCAACGGCTGCATTCGCTCCACGTCATCGTCGTCGTTCATCGTGCCGTCCGTCTTCTCGTCCTCCAACTCTATCGCCACCACGTCCCCTTTCTGCGATTCATCCTTGGAAACAGGCTCTTCCCGCTCATCGTCCCCTGCTTCCGCATCGTCCGCTTCCCCCTCCAGCCCCGAAGCTTCTGCCCGCCTGCGCTCTCCCTGGACCAATGCCGCGGGTCCCTTCGACCAACTTCCGCCCGTTCCCGCTCCACCTGATGTCCCGCTGTCCGCCCTAGAGCCAACCCAAAATGGGCCGTGCGCCAAAGAAGAAACGAGCAAGTCGCGGGGAGGCTCCTGGCGCCGGCGCGCGCAACCGAAAGCGGAGCAGCGCGCGGAAAAAGCAGTCGAGGTGTCGACTGCGCAGGAAGGGAAGCCGTCAGCGCACCGCGACAGACGCCGAATGAGTCTGGGAGGATTCGCGAGCAGTCTGTTGGGTGATTTGCGGTACAGATAGGTTTGTTACCGTACCGTTTTGTTCCAATAATGGGGCAGCTCGAAAGTGCATAACAAGGGCCGCACACGCTAAATTCGTTCCCATAACAGGCTTTGGTGTTAGTTATATACGACTACGACTACACTATTCCAAACCAGCTGCACCTACTGTGTATCTCAATTAGCAGACTAATGACGTTATATCAGACGGAAATTGTACACCAAGCTGTAAGAATGTGAGTTGGTCATTATGCATCTGTTTGCAGTTTCAAAGTCTACACTAAGGGTGCATTCCTGTGACGACATTTGTGTCTCAATCCCCATTTTCCCGAGTCGCGTCAATGTCGCGTCACAAAAACTGAATGTATCGCGAAACTATGCGACCTGGCGAGATGCACTGACGAACGCATTTGATTGGGTGACACGGATGACTGTACCCCCGTTCCTTCAACCGATTAGCAGGGGTGTGGTTTCGACGCGCGGTATTTTTCCCCACTCGAAATTGGCATCGCAGGTAGACCAGGTGCATTGACATTTGGGGCCGCGTGCGATTTTATATAAATGACGAGTCTGTTTACAATTTGATAGCGACGTCAGCGCGTTTCACGCTGACCAATGAAAAATATAGTAATGGTCGCTGACACGCGACTCGCGTTTGAGACACACTACGGTCTACGTTGTTTTTGGGTGTCTCAAAGCGATTGAGACATTTGTGTCCACACAGGAATGCGCCCTAGCAGTCAGCTGCGAATAGTAAGTAGGGAAGATAGAAAATATTGAGAAAGCTTGCTTTCTGTTCCTTGCAAGGCAACGTGTGTTGGAAACAAGTAACTTAAGCGCCTCTGTCGTGTCGAAACACTAAGTTATAAGCGAAGCGAAACACAGCGAAGCATCGGCGAGTCAACCCTCGGAGGTTGAACAACTGCTGGAGGTTACGTGAAAGTCAAAGGTCGGCGACCTTTGACCTGACAAGTACAGCGCGACAGCGAGGACAAACAACTGACTCGTTATTGAGCAGTTGCCCGAGTCGTCACTGTATCGAACCGCAACAGCAACAGCAAAACAGTTATTAGTTATAACCCTTCATATTCCCTTGTACTCTTATAAAAGCTTGTATCTCTTTGTTTTAATCAATCTACTTTGCCCTCACATACCAGCGCAAGGTGGTTCACAAACTTATCACTAAACGCTCCCGCTATTACATTGTTCTACTCAGAGTTTAGTCCTGCAAAGATCCTAAGGGCTTTTCTCAGCCGAACATGGTATGAGAGCTATCAAGACAAATTCAACTACAATCAAGACTTCGACAATATCACAAGGCATGGCAACGCAGAAGGAGAGAAGCTCCTCTAACGGCTCTCCCGGTACTACTCCCACTCCACCTTCTGCCTCTGGCCTACAGACAGAGGAAGGCACAGCAACAAGACCGGCAGCGGGGTCTACCGAAACTCCCGCAAATCAAGTCGCGGGCTTCGACTCAGACATGATGGAGAAATTCTTCTCCTTCTGTCCTTCTACGAACAACACCAGCAAGGGGCACTTGCGCAGTCAAACAACAGAACCAACAACAACGCAACACCGATGAGCCTCGACGGTTCATCCTACGCACGAGGAAATCAGCTACAACAACCTACCTTCGCCCCGTACGAACCTCAGCGCGGTTCCGTCAGCTTCATGCCGCGCCAGCAGCCTTCACCTGAGCAAGAGAAGACATTAGATGCACTTCAAGTTCAGTCGAAGTTTGCACACCTCTTAAAATTGCAGACGTCAAGACCGTTCGATGGAAATGACTTCTTTACCTGGTCATTCGAATTCGAGCTGATGATGGAAGGCGCGCAGATTCTTGGCTTCTTCGACGGGTCCCTGCCATACCCAACATACGGGACGCAATACGACAAGCAGCAGTATACATATCAGTCCATGATGTCGTATACAATCCTACTGCGCAACGTCACACCGAACCAGCAGCATAACATTCGGTCTTACCGAGGATACGGGAACTCTGCCGAGCTTGCGTACAACCACCTGAAGAACCTGTATCAGGCAACAGACAGCGTCAATCAGAGTCGGTTAATGGCACAACTGACAACAGTGGAAATGAAAACAGGTGAAAAGGGGATGGCGTATATCAGCCGCTATCACGAATTTTGCGACAAACTCCTTCGATGCGGAGGGTCGATATCGGAAGACACCTTTGTCACAGTCGTCATTGGCAGTCTTGGTCCTCATTGGCGCTCCACTCGCGCCATACTCCAAGCTCACGGGAAGATCTCTGAAGCCGCACTCTGCGCCGAAATTCACGCTGAGCAGCAAGACATGGACCTGCAAGAGAAGCGGCACAAGAAGAAAACGTCAGTACCCGAATTTGCGTTCCACACTCAACGGCGCTATAACAACAACAACAACCGGCATCAACCAAAACCCGTACCTCCGTTTTGTCATCTCTGCAAGACGTCTGGACACCCCCGCACACACTGCCCTAACCGACAGCATACAACACCAACACAGCGGCAACTTCGCCCTTCAAGCAGTCAAGTCACCTCAACGCAAGCGAATCCCACCACTCAAGTACAAGCCTCAACAACGTCGACGGGACAACCTGCGCAAGGAACAAGAAACATCGTCAGCTGCATGGCAAGACTGACCGACTCCTGCATCATCGAGTCACCGCCGCACTTCTCACCAGAAGAATAACTCGACAAAAGTACTCCATGGCGCGAGTCACTTCAACCGAACCCGACATACGCAGCTATCGCCCAAAGCGAACCATCCGGGAAGGACACCTGGTTCTTGGACAGTTGCTGCGGGCAACATATGTGCTCCTCGGGTCGTTTCGTTCAACGCGAACACCAACTTCAGCGCGAAGTCGTCATCACCGTCGCCAACAATCAGAACCTGCGCACACAACGACAAGGCGTAGTGCAACTTCAGACACGAGAGACAAACGTCATACTACAAATGTCAAAGGTTTTAATTGCGGAGGGACTCGGCTACAGCTTACTAAATGTCAGTCAGCTGATGGCGAAAGGTATCCACCTCGAAGTAGACAGCACAACACAGGAGTTCAAGCTGTACCACGGGAGAGGAGGCCTCTACATCGGCAAGGCCGTGCTGAAGAACAACATGTTCGTCCTCGACTTCGTTCCAGATCTAGGCACCGCCGACAGCGACGGAATCGTCACCTTCACCTCCTGGACGCACCCACCGGATCTCGATCCTGACTTCAGCCCCGAAGGTTTCTGGTATTCGCACACCATCCCTGAGGCAGAACGAACAAGAGCATTAGCAACAATTCAATCGGCAGCAGCAGAGACAACATCGGCAGCAGCAGAGACAACATCGGCAGCAGCAGAGACAACATTGGCAGCAGAAGAGACAACATCGGCAGCAGCAGAGACAGCATCGGCACCAATCGCGGGTCCTTCTACTGCACCGGCTCCAATCAACGACGACACTCCACCGACTCCTGTGCAGCAGCTGAACCCAACACCACGAGAAGTACATCGAAGCGCAAACTTCACTGCAAGCTTCTACTCCAACTCCGACTTGTATCGTCGCTCACCCGGACATCGAGCTGGCGAAGACATCTGGCACGCACGAATGGGACATCCAAGCAACACAGTGTTAAATAACACAATCAGAGCAGGAGTGCTCGACAAAGACTCACTGCTCCTAACCGACGGAAGCGAACTTCGACGAGCTCGCGGAACATGATTTACCTGCCCCGAAGCTGATCTACCACATCGGCCGTTCGCTTCTCACCACAACCCCAGCGCACCAGCTAACGCACCACTCGAGAAAGTTTACAGCGACATCCTGTACAACCGCAAACCTGGACAAGGAGCATACAGCTACACCATCACGTTCATCGATGCCGCCACACGTTACGTTTGGCATCTCAAACTTCCGAGCAAGGACATGGCCTTCGAGGCCTTCGTCGCTTGGCTCCCAGCGGCAGAACGAGAATCGGGCGTCAAACTAAAAAGCTTCTAGTCAGACAGAGGAGGAGAATACACCTCACAGAGGTTCAAGCAGTACTTGGCAGAAAGAGGGATCAAGAGGCTCATCTCTCTTCCCTACGCTCACCAGCAGCAAGGCGTAGCAGAAAGGATGAACAGAACTCTTCAGAACACCATGCGCAAGCTGCTACGTGGCATGCGACTACCCAACCACCAGTGGCCCGAAGCAATGGACCACGCTGTCATGCTGCACAACTTGCTCTCGTCATCATCGCTCCCGAACAACGCATCACCACACCTGCTGTGGACAGGAAAACAGGGCAGCACAAAAATGTTAAGAGTTTTCGGCTGCATGGTACAGTACCGACCCCCATCTGCACGAGCCGGCCGATTCTCCCAACGCGCACAGTGGGGGCTACACCTGGGCATCGAAAGAAATTACAACGCGTGGAAGATTTTCGACGTCCACTCCAAGGAAACAGTAGCAGCACGTGATGTCATTTTCTACGAACGACTCACCCTTCCGACGTACCTTGCCAACCTGGAAGAAGATCGGGACCCCACAGGTGGATTCCGTGGTGACCGAGCCTTCGCCTCGGCAGCAGACGAAGCTGACCAAGACGAGCAGAACGTGGATGCAGCCTCGGAGGAAGCCGGACCTCTCCCTTACTGCTCCGTCGACGTCCCAATGGATGACGAAAATCCTCGCGACAACGCCAACGCCGAAGTATTTGACACTTCGCCGACAACGGTTACGTTACACCTGCAGAAGTCAACACCAACGAAGCAGAACGCATAGGGCCCAACTTCATACCTGACCCAGAAGCAGGAGACGAAGCAGCTTATCCCGAGGACACAACACTCCCCCGCTACACACAGAGTGGTCTCCAGATACTCGGCCTCGTCACCGCGGTCCACGGGACGGAGATTCCTAAGGAGCCTGCCACAGTTCAGCAGGCTCTGGGGGGGGAGCATAGGGAAAAATGGCGCGAAGCCATGGACAAGGAGCTGAAAGCACTGGAGGAACGGAACACCTGGAAAGTCGTTCCCATCGGCGTGGCAC